AGCAGTGGCAGCCTTGCATGTATGAGGATTATTCTGTGAAATAAATATGTATGCTTGCATTAGAATAGTCATCCAGTGTATTAGAGATGACTGTGTATTACACTATCTTGGCTTTGGATGGGCTTTATTACCCTGAAGTGTAAGGAAGCAAAAACTATGACCCCTACTCTCCCACATGCTTTAAAGAAATAAAACAAGCTGTCAGGTTTCTGCCAGAATCTAAAAGAGATTTGTGTGGTATTGGAAAGAAATTGTGGAGGATCAAATAGAAATACAGAGTAATACTTAATCTTCTTTTACCAATAGCACCCAGACTTTATGAAAAATCCTTCCTCTTGATGTGTTTTCTTATTAAAAAGGTCTAATTTAGGGAATGTGGATGGAGACTTCAAGCCTTGATCCAGTTTCACAGTGATGTTTAATAAAGATTGATTACTGCAGTCTCACAAAATTAGTAGCAAAAGGAAATCTCATTGGTAAATAACCTGCTGTAGGTTTTGTTTGGAGAGGCATACAAAAATGTGATGATACATTTTGACTTCTGTATTGTCTTTCACAGAGATTATGAAAAAGTTATCTATGTGAATGTAGTATTTTGGTGGGCGATGTTTGTCATTTAAAATTATTCCTCCACTAGCTAGTATTTTACAGAAATTAAATTTGATGTTTTCCTTAGAAGTTACTGACCAATATACTTTTGCTGATGAGACAAAATTCAGTAGTAAATACAGTTGAATGTAGATTTCCTGTGAAATATTTTTCTCCTTTGTAGAAAGACTTCCTTCTTGCAGTTTTGTTACTCATGTGTTTCAGACATAAGCACATGCTTAAGGGATCTTGGCTGGTCAGCATCCCAGATGTTTACTCTTCATTTTGAAAAGATTAAGCCCAAATGGAAAACTCTTGTGCATAGCATTATGTTCTGTTTCCTGTCTCTTGAGACAGGCAATCTTGCAAAAGATCTTTTTCAAGTTTTCTATTTTTGTTGGTGCACCATGAAACTGTTTCTCATAGGAAGTGTGTTGAACCCTGTATGTTAGTTGAAGTCATTTCTCTATCAAAGAAAGGAGCTGCTGACTGCAGCTGGAAATTCTGTGAAGCTGCCAGTACTTCATGGTTTCAGTGCAGAGCTGTTAATTGGTCCAGCCTGAGATTTAGTGAAACACCTCTGAACTTCATCTTCTGGTTTGTAACAAAATCCAAAGATGTAAAAATTTTTTTGATTTCAAGGCTGCATTATAAACATGTTTTGTAAATTTTCATTGTAACTAACTGACTTTCCACTTACATGATCTCATACTTGCTTTATCTGATAGGAATTCTTGATCCATTGCCCTTTTTATAACCTGTCTCTTCAGAATAGGATCTCTGATATTTAGACTTCCTATCCATGTTTAATCTGCTCATAATGTATTACTTATTCTCAGTTGCTGGAAAAAAAAAAAAAAGTAGTACTGGGAAAATGAGACTTTTGTCTCACTGCCAGGCAGTATGAACTCTGCTGAAGATGGATTAGTATTCTGTTACCTGAGAAGCACCAATTGTCCTTAGCTTCATGGAGAGTATGAGCATGGCACAGGACAGACAATTGTTCTATGCCTTCTAGGAGTTGCAGTTGCCCTGTAAATAATCCTCTGATAAGTAGGCTCATTGCAGAAGCACTGTCACACAGGAGCAATTGGCTTTTTTTAGTAGTCTGCTTTCTTCTCATGAGAACACCTCAGGAACTTGTTAGGCTTAGATATGTTTTCTAAGATAGCAGCTGAAGACAGCCATGATGTACGCAGCATTTTCAAGAAATGTTCTCAGTATCTTCTAAAGAGGGCTTTTCCTCTCCAAGTAATATGCTTGGGCTGTCTGCAAGCCAGTGAGTTGGGGAGCTAGTGACCAGGCTCAGAGAATAGTGGAGCATCCTAGGAGTTGGGCATAATGCTTTGTTTTATTTTTCTGCCAGCCCATCAGTTTGCTGTTCATCTGGTTGTATTGTCTTTCTATAGCTGGTATAGTGATTAGGAGTGAGCAAGAGGATGGAACACACAAATAACAAGGGCAAACTGGCATTATGCAAGAGCATAATGACCCTGTGTTTGCAGTGGGGTGAGCAGAAGGATGCAGATTTGACATTGCAGTAGATGCAGATTTGGCAAGTTTGTTAGTAAATACATTGTTACTGCTTAGACTTCCCTGAGCTGGCAGCAATTGGTGGTGTCCTCAGCTGCCATTTCCTACTGTTACTCATCCTTTCAAAATACTTTTCTGAAAGCATATTGTGAAACTCCTGTTGTTGCTCCTTATGTCATGGTCTGAGCATCTCTCATGCCTACTTTATTTTCCAGCCATATCATAGAGGAGTATTCAGCCTCGCAGGTTGTGAGAAGCTGTTGTGTTTAAAAACAGAAAAACAAAATGTCATAGAAGGCTGCTTAGGCTCTCTTAGAGGAGCCTCTATAACCAGTGGCTTCCAGTAAAATTCCCCACAGAGAAAACAATTTTCATTTCTGTTCATTATTTATTAAGACAAGGGACGTTCAGACACAACTCATAACTTTCTCAGAAATCAATACAAAATACAGAGACAGGAAATAATGCTCGTTCTTGGTCATCTATCTAAATGTTCCTTTGAGTTTCATTTTGGTTAATTTAAACAAGAGATGGAAACAGTTGAATACTGCTATGATAATACATCTATAGTTGATAACTGTAATGGTGATATAATGCATATCAAGGGGATTTGGAAAAGTATCTATAAGGCTGACTTCTTAATAATGCTTGTTTAAGTTACTAGAGCTTGAAGATTGCAAACATGTAGATTAATGTTTCTCTGATGGTTTAGCTTTTCCTCAAGCCAACTAAGGCAAGAGGTGTTGTACTATTTTCAATAATTACACATTACATTTAATTTTTTATATAGACCTACCTAGTAAAGTATTTTGGAATGTTTTTTAGAAATACTATGTCAATGTTACATATGCATATATACATGCATTTAGTTACAGTGTTATTGTGTATATATTTATATGTATATGTTCTTGTGTATATACACTAGAATTGAGCATTTTTGTACGTATAAAATATATATTCAGAAATCAAGCTCTTAGCAACAAAAGCAAAGAATGGGCATGCTTTCTCACTGAAAGAGAAGCAGTTCTGAAATTAAGTGAAAACTGAGCTAGTAGTTATTTCACAAAGCATAAACTTATCCTAAGGCCCTATCTCTGTCTATAATATAAGTCACACTAACTTCATCCTGAATAAGAAAGAAATCCTTTAAAAAAGAATAAATAGGTAACTTTATCGTCTGTTTCCAGATAAAATATCTAACTACTTAGTGCTGCAACAGTGACATCCAGTGACTAAGCCAGGAAGTTTTAGACTTAATCTACATTTTTATCAATGCTGAAGGACATAGATGGAAAGGGAGGGTTATTTCCTAAGATTCTTAGTGAAATACTGAACAGATGATAAGTAGGGGATGCATGAGAATGGAAAACACAGTGAATGGGTGATTAATTAAAATTATGTAGATGTTGAATTAGCCATTGTGTCTTTGGGAATTTGACATGGTATGAGCCAAGTGAGGAATAAATTATTTTTAAACAATTTATTTCTCTATTGAGACATTGTATAATGAGGGCATGTAGCATTTCATGTAAGTTTTGATAACCTAGCAGTAACAAGAGTTCAACTGGCAGTATCTTTTACATATTTTGTTTCAGGTAAGATCAACCATAGGGATAAATTCTGCTGTACAATGAAAAAGTTTCCGTTTTTATCAGATTTATGAAATAAATAATTCAGAAATGTTTCATGTGTAAGGAAGGTGGCAAATTTCATACCACTCTTTCATACCTGATTCTGTTTTAATTAAAGTCAATGTGAATTTTGTAATGAAATTTAAATCTCACATAGCTTCTGGCTCTAAAGAATAAGTGGTATTTAGTACTGACCTGACCCTCTAATTCCTCAGTTACTCACATTTGTTGTTGGAACTGATTCTTGAAATATTGCTATTATTCAAAATGCTATGTGATATATTCTGTACTTTGTTGTTGTTGTAATTGTGCTAAGGAAGTAACTTGTGTCTGTGCTTTTCAAAAAGACAGCAATACAAACAAATTATTTAGAATTTCAGCTTTAAAGCGTTCCAAGTTTCCCACTATTTTACCATTTGGAAATTGGTGAATGAAGAAGTAATTGTAAAATTATGTAAGATCATAAATGGAGAAATAAACTGAAAAACTGATTAAGAACCGATAGCGCAGCTTCAAGAAGTCCATGCAGTGGAAGTTATGCTGTGCTTACTTGCTCAAGACTCAGACCTTCCAGGCCTCTGCTTCAGATTACTGAGAAGTATGGTACATCCTCAGACTCAGAAATGTAGGCTGTTTCTCAATCACTAAAATAACTGGAAAACTTGAAAAGTGAAAAACTTGAAAAATATATTTAAATGAGTTTTTAGAGTACTGCAAAAGTAACGTTACTGTGATATACTGTATTCTGTGGAAAGTTGTAAAAGAATTAAGCAATAGAAAAATGAATTGGCATCACTAGGGGGCAATAAAACATCAGAAATATCTATATTGTTGAAGAAGAATGCAAATAGTGTCACACCCTCACTGACAGAGTGACTTGTGTTATGACCTGAAGAACAGCTTGCATAGGCAAACACTTCTGTGTTTCTCCCGCTGTGTTTTATTGCCAGTCTTTCCTCATGGATTATAGATTTCCCCCAAATAATGTATTGTATATGCATATTATTGTATATAGTGTATATTGTATATGCATAAGGAAAAGTTCGCGTAATGCAAATGCTTTGCCTACATTTTGTCACAGTAAAATAGAAATACTTGACATTTGCTACAATTTTTGTTTCTGAACACCACCACGTTCAAGTATAACATTTTGCTAAGGCTTACCAATTTTGCACAAATAAAGTAAAGCTGTATAGTATTGGAAAATTTAAATCTGAAGCTCACTGTCTCTCTCTCTGTCCACTTCAGCCTTTGTAATCTTCAACTCAGATTGATGACAGAAATTCCAGATGACTGCTGCTCCAGTACTCTTAAGCTATGAGGTTAGTTATTAACCATTTTCTTTCCATCTTCCTGATGTTCTGCTGGTATTGTGTATCCGTTTACTGATAAGAAGGCCAAAAAAAAAATAGAGCTGTAAGACAATTTTTGGGGCACAATTACAGTATAAACTATGTTTGTGTCAGATGAGGCCTCACCAGGGCAGAGTAGAGGGGGAGGATCACCTTCCTCGACCTGCTGGACACGCTCTTTTTAATGCACCCCAGGATGCCATTGGCCTTTTTGGCCACAAGGGCACACTGCTGGCTCATGGCCCACCTGTCATCCACCAGGACACCCAGGTACCTCTCTGCAGAGCTCCTCTCCAGCAGCTCATCCCCCAGCCTGTATTGGTGCATGCAATTATTCCTCCCTAGGTGTAAGACTCTACACTTGCTTCTGTTGAACCTCATCCAGTTTCTTACTGCCCAGCTCTCTGAATGGCAGCACAGCCTTCAGGCATCAGCCAATCTTCCCAACTTTGTATCATCAGCAAACTTGCTGAGGGTGGCCACTATCCCCTCATCAAGGTCACTGATGAAGATGTTGAACAAGACCGGACCCAGCACAGACCCCCGGGGGACACCACTTGTTACAGGTCTCCAGTCAGACTCTGCACCACTGATGACGACCCTCTGCGCTCTGCCAGTCAGCCCGTTCTCAACCCATCTCACTGTCCACTCATCTATCCAACACTTCCTCAGCTTTGTAATAAGGATGTCATGGGAGGCAGTATCAAATGCCTTGCTGAAATCAAGGTAGACTACATCTACTGCTCTTCCCCCATACACCCAGCATGTGACAACATCATAGGAGGCCACCAGGTTGGTCAAGCACGACCTCCCCTTGGTGAACCCATGCTGACTACTCTTGATAACCTCCTTTTCTCCCAGTTGTCTGGAGATGACATCCAACACGAGCTGTTCCATCACATTTCCAGGGACAGAGGTGAGGCTGACAGGCCTATAATTACCCGGGTCTTCCTTCTTGCCCTTTTTGAAGACTGGAGTGACATTGGCTATCCTCCAGTCTTCGGGGACCTCCCCCATTATCCAAGAGCTCGCAAAGATGATGGAGAGAGGTTCAGCAATGATTTCCACCAGCTCCCTCAGCTCCCGTGGATGCACCCCATCAGATCCCATGGACTTGTGGACCTTAGTACTGCCTAGGCATTCACGGACCACCTCTTTCCTGACTAAAGGGAAGTCTCCCATTCCCCAGACCCTCTCACTAACCTCCAGGGTGTGGGAAACCTGAGGGGAGAGCCTTTTCACTGAAGACAGAAGTAAAGAAGGCATTCAGTTTCTCTGCCTTCTCAGCATCCCCCATTACCAGAACCCCCTCCTCACTTAGTAAGGGGCCCACTCTAGTGGGGCCTCTCTAGTTTTCCTTTTCTCTCTGGTTTTCCTTTTGCTGTTAACATGCTTGAAGAAGCCTTTTTTTTTTTATCCTTTATCACTTTAGCCAGGTTCAATTCCAGGCAGGCTTTAGCCTTCCTCATTGCATCCCTGCAGGCCCTGACTACGTTCCTATATTCTTCCCAAGTGGTCAGACCCTTTTTCCACATTTCATGGACCACCTTCTTTCCTCTGAGCTTGTGCATGAGCTCATTGCTCATCCACACAGGTCTCCTGCCTCCTTTTCCCAATTTCTTGCTCACAGGGACACACCGATCCTGAGCTTGGAAGAAGAGCTGCTTAAATGCTGACCAGCTCTCAGAGGCCCCCTTGCCTTCTAACACCCAAGCCCATGGGAGATAGCTCCAAGTAGGTCCCAGAAGAGATCGAAGTTGGCTTTCCTAAAGTCCAGGGTAGCAATCCTACTTTCTGCTTTGCTTCTTCCACTGAGGATCTTGAACTCCACCATCTCATGGTCACTACAACCCAAGCTGCCCCCCACCTTTACTTCCTTAACAAATCCTTCCAGTCCAGTAACACCCCTCCCTGTGTCAGTTCCTCCACCACCTGCATCAGAAAGTTGTCTTCAACACACTACAAGAACTGTCTGGACCGTGCATGCCTGGCCATGTTGGTTCATCAAGCAAATATCTGGATAATTGAAGTCCCCCATAAGCACCAGTGCCTGGGAACGTGATCCTACATCCAGTTGCTTATGGAAGGCTTCATCAACCTCGTCCTCCTGATCCGGGGGCCTGTAGTACACACTCACAACAGTGTCATCCTTACCTACCTGCCCCTTGATTCTCACCCACAAGCTCTCCACTGCTATGTCACTCTTCCTCAAGTGGAGTTCAATACATTCTAACTGCTCTCTCACATAAAGAGCAACTCCACCACCCCGCCTCGCTGGCCAATCTTTCCTAAAAAGCACACAGCCCTCCATGACAACATTCCAGTCATGCAAGCTGTCCCACCATGTCTCCATGATTGCAGTGACATCGTGACCTCACGACCGCATGCAGAACTCCAGCTCTTCCTGTTTATTTCCTATGCTACGTGCATTAGTATACAGGCACTTAAGAGAAGCAGCATCTCCCCACCCCTCTCCAAGCCTTTGAACTCCATTGTCTCCACCCATCAAGTTCTGTTTTGAGCATCGAACTGCCCCCTCAATCCCCTTCCCCCTTCATACCTAGTTTATACACCTGTCAGTAAGTCCCACCAGTTTCTCGGCTAGAACCCTCTTTCCACATGGAGATAGGCTGCTTCTATTTGAAGCCATCATGCCAGGTGCCGAGTAAATTGCCCCTTGATCAAAAAAAACCCAAAACTTCTGTGTTTGTACCAACTCCTAAGCCATTTGTTCAAGAGATGGGTTTTTAGGATCATCCTGGTATCCTTCCCTGCTACCGAAGATACAGATGTAATATCCACCTGCACACCTGTTCCTTCAACTACCCGCCCCAGCCCTCTGAAGTCATTTTTGATAGCCTTCAGGCTTTTCTCATTAACTTCTTCACTGCTAGTCTGTACTATCAATGGTAGATAGTAGTCAGAAGGGCAGATCAGTCTGGGAAGTCTCCTAGCAGTGTCCCTGACATTGGGGGGAATGTGTCATTTTGGGGAACATAGGTGATGTTATTTCTACTACAAATTTACAGGCAGATTTTTTTTTTTAAATCACTGTATCATTTTAGTACTTCTGGTTTGGTCCATTTGACTTGTGACTCCTAAGAGATGCACTACCAGATATCAGTTCCTAACGCATGGGCCCCCAAAATGTTTTTCAAAAGTTTAATGTTCCATACTTGACAGACTGCTTCCATTCAGCTAGCTCCTCCTGAAAGCTCTCCCCTTTATCTGAGCTAGGAGCTGATAATTAGTAACTGTATAGCGGAACTCAACCCCCAGTATTTAAGCTGCACCTTTACATTTTGAGTGCCTCTAGTCCCTCTCAGGGAAGACAATCCATTTAATTATTGATCCAGTTAATAGATGGTCAACTCAGCTGGCTACTGACTTTGCCCTGAGATGTGTTGCAGACATGCTTACAATCCAGAAACAATAGACAGAATATCCAAAATGCTACCAGAAGCACTTCTGTTTCTTTCAGAACAAATAAGGCTGTTAATTGGATTTGAGAAATTTCCTATCTGTTTCAGGATGTTGATGAGTATACAAATAAAAATCCTCCATGAAAGTGATTTGATTCGCTTGTTTGCCTGGAAATAATTGCAGTTAGTTACAGCTGCTGATTGTATAAGTTATTGTTCTTCATCTGTTCCTTCTGTTGCTATTTAATTCATTTCTTGGGAAATTCCCTTTGTGTTGTGTCCAGGAACAGGATTCTAGCCTACTGTCTTTATATGGGCAAGTTAAATGTCTCTGTCTTACAGGAGTACTGTGGCTGAGAAAAGGGTAAGATACCATAATTATGTTTACCTTTAATTTTAGTACATGCCAGCATACTACACAGGAGAACTGTGTATATTTTACTAAAGGCAGCATAGCCTTTAGCATGGTCAGGCTCCAGATACTGCAGTGTAGCCTAGACCTAGTGTGCATAGCATGGCTTTATTTAAAAACAGATGAACATTAAAAAAACAAACAAATATAAACAACAAAAAAAAGACACTAGAGTTATAAACTACAACATCTCTGTCTTAAATATGCAGTGAATATGGCATTCTCCTGAATCAAAGTCTTCTAGGAATAAATAATAGAAAATTCTATAGTCTGTATGTTCTTTAAAAGTGTATTTCGAGTTAGCTAGTGCTTTTTAGAGAGCAGTCTGCTCAGGCAGATCTGAAAACTTGAAACAGGAAACTTCCCGGCTGCTGCTGCAGATCTCTGACTTCTACCCAGAGTAAACTTCTGTGCTCTGCAAAAGCAGCCACGACTAGCTGATGAATCAACAGGCAGGGGGCTGCTCTAGAAAGATCAGGTTGCAATTTTGCCCTTGTAGTTTTACACTACACCCCCACGTATTATCTTAAGCATGAATTGGTAGGGGAGGATCACATTCAGCACTGATTCAAGAATTCTTTCTGAGTTCAAGAACTGTTCCTAGGAGTTTGGTGAGTACTTTGTGACAAACTTTGTTTTATAAATCTCTTTTTTAGCTGGTAGAAAAGTGTCTGCTGTTAGGTTTTCTTTAGAATGTGGTAGATGCAGTACTCAAATATTTAGATTCTAGAAATATGTACAGATTAAAAAGGGAGGCTTCTGTGTGGAGATCTGAAACAGGGCAGCAATTAATGTAGCTTTACAGATATTAATGCAACTCATCTTTGGTTGTCAGAATGCCAGATTAAGGTATTTTTAGCTCCAAATAAGTTTAAGATATTTCAAAGAAAGCCATTAGTTGCAATTTGAAGGGGAAAAAAAAGAAAAAAAAAAAAAAGCTCTAAGTAATTAAAACAATTCCTCTTGTACGACAACTTCAAGGAAGGCTTGACTCAGACATTATTGTGCCAGGCTATTTCAAATCCTTCCAAAGTTTGTAATGTTTGAAGCAGTTAATACTATGAGAATGTTTAAGGAGAGGCAAATTAATCTGATGTTAGTACAAATCAATTTCACACACAGTGTGTTACAGAAAT